TTTTTGTCAAAGCGGGTCCATTTTTTTGCCATTTCCGCCAACTTGGCCAACCCTTGTAGAAATCAAACTGTCCTTCCGTGTGACATCACGCTGTTTGTTTGAATGGTAGATTGAGACGCCTGAACCGGCCCCACCACGACTGGGCCTCGTTGCCGGTGCCCGTGGGGGCTTCCCACATCCTGGTGGAGAACCTCCGGCCAGATATGAGCTACCAGTTCAGCGTCTTGGCTCAGAACAAACTCGGCAGCGGTCCGTTCAGTGAAATCCTCTCCATCGCGCCTCTGGGTGAGAAGCTGTAACCGCTATATGCTCGGGGGCGGGAGGCTGGTTTCTTCCAATTCTAATAACCAGGGTTCTGGTTAGCCTAGACAAAGGAGATAGGTAGGATAGCCAGGCCTTCTAGGCCTGTGATGGCGAACCTATGGCACGCTTGCCACGAGTGGCACACAGAGCCATTTGTACCGACATGCGAGCCGTAGCAAAGTTACCTCATTGCGTGTGTGCGTGTCTCACAGCTGATGTTTCCAGTTGGTTTGAGGCCTTTTTTCAGCCTTCCAGAGGCTTGGAAAAAGCTTTTGCAAGGCTTTTCAGGACGAATTATAGGCCCATTTCGTCACTTCCTGTAATACCGGATGAAATGGGCCTATAATTCACCCTGAAAAGCCTCTGGAAAGCTGAAAAAGGCCTCAAACCAGCCGAAAAATGAGCTGTGAGGCGCAGTGCAGGTAAAGGGGGTGGTGGTTGGGGATTACGTGCACATGGGCAGGGGGCATGGGGGGCGCATTGCATACTGGGTGCTGCAAACGAATGCATGTGCGTTGGTATGTGCACAATTTTTGGCACAGGAGCCCAAAAAGGTTAGCCACCACTGTTCTAGGCTGTTGACCAGGTCAAGAAAGAGTCCCGAGGGGGATCCCGAAATACAACAAGTCCTCAACACAAAGTCGACCACAATGGAGTCCAAAAGTTCTGTTTGCTAAGCGAGACAGTTGCTAAGTTGAGTTTTGCTCCACCTTTCTTGCCACCGCAGCTAAGTGAATCGCCGCATTTGATAAGTTAGTCATCTAGTTGTTAAGTGAATCTGGCTTCCCCATTAAATTTGTGGGTCAATAGGTCGTAAAAGGGGACCGCGTGACCCTGGCACAATGCAGCCATCATAAATATGAGTCAGTTGGCCAAGCGTCCGAATTTTTTATTGCGTGATCACGGATCGTAAGTATGAAAAACGGTCATCAGTCACTTTTTTTCAGTGAGTGTTTTTTCCGGCGAGACCGGTCTTACCAGGGCAACCTGGTCTACCCAATTAGGGGACGGAGCATACCGCTTCCGCTTTCTCCTTTCAGCCCCAATCCAGGAGCCAGAAGGGAGGCAGGGAGGCGCTTTCGCGACAAATTATTTCCCTTTATTTGTCTGTCGATAACGCAAATTCAACCCTTTTTCTCAGTGCCATTGTAACTGGCAATTTAGTTTCACAAAACAAACTGTTGTAAATCGAGGAACTGCCTGTAGTAAACACAGAATTTTGGGCTGGCTTTGTCCCAGAAGAAAATCAAGGCAGAATTTGCTTTGAGTTTCTTTCTCACCCGTCCCTCTTTCCCGGGACTGTGGAATCTTTTTCTGCAGCTCCTTCAGGAATGCGTCACTCATTTATCACCAAAATCAGGTCTACGTTCCTTTATTCTAACCTTTATAAATAAGATGGATATGGATTCATCGGGCCAGGGGGTGCCCTCATAATGTTTCTGACTTCCCTCTTGGGGTGCATGGTTGAAAAGGCAAACGTACTGCACCATGCCAGCGTGGCTTAACTCCACATCCAAGTGACGTGGAAAGCCAATCCGTCAGTACACTGGTAGTCCTCAGCTTATGATCACAGTGGAAACCAGAATTTCCATTGTTAAATCAGGGTGCTTTTTAAATGAGCTGCGCCCAATTTTTTGACCCTTTTTTAGCCACGGTTGTTAAGCGAATTGCTGCAGTTGTTAAGTGAATCACAGCCATTAAGCGAATCCAGCTTCCCCCGTTGACTTCGCTCGCCGGAAGCCGGCTAGGAAGGGTTGCAAACGGTGATCGTTTGGGATGCTGCAGCTATTGTAAATATATGCCGGTTGCTAAGCGCCCAGATCTTGATCAGGTGACTGTAGGGATGCTGCAACGGTCATAAGTGCGCAGACTGGTCATAAATCATTCTTTTTTTTTTTTCAGTGGTATTGTAACAAACGGTCACTAAACGAATGGTTGTTAAGTCAAGGATTACCTGTATTTTGCAAGAGTCAGCCAAGGAGGAAGACCTAGAAAGATCAAAGCAATCGGCGTCCTTCCTCAAAGCAACCCTCTTGTTCTTCCTTTTTTCAGGGGTCCCCACTCAGGCTGCGCCCCCCATCCTTCCAACCACGGCCTCCCTGGTCTTCCTTCCCCCACCCCAGTTCCTGAGATCCAACGAGACCACACGTGGGGTCCTTCTCCTGTGGGAACCTCCGCTCCACGATCCTACAGCCTTAACGGGATATTCCCTGGAACTGCGGCAGAATCGGGGGAAGTGGGAGGTGCTGAGTGGCTCCATTCCCAGCTCCGAGACCCAATTCCTGGTGCCTGGACTCATCAAGGTGAGTCTCATCCCAGTTCTACCTTTGCAAGCCCCTGGTTTTTTTCCTCAGCCCCCAGAGGGATGTGGGTTCGCATGAGGAAAAGTGTATTTATTTAGCACAGTGTTTCTTAGTGTTGGCTACTTGAAACTGGGTGGACTTCAACTCCCAGCATTCCTATGTCTGACTAGGGAATTCTGGGAGTTGAAGTCCACCCATTTTAAAGTTGCTAAGGTTGAGAACATTAATAAAAACTCAAAACGAGAGCGTTTTATCCAGTTCAGCGTTATCTGCTGGCCCTATTCCTCCACCGTTTATTTTTATTTGCGCACATAATGCCTTGGTCTGTTGCTTGCTCGTCACGGTGAGATAGCATCCACTTTGGCGGGCGGACCTAATGTCCATCGGCTAATTCTTCCCCTTTCCAACGCAGGATACCTTCTATGAGTTCCGCCTGATGGCCTTTGCCGGCAGCTACATCAGTTACCCCAGTAACGTGGTCAATGTTTCAACCACGGGTAAGTCCGGCGACACCTGGCATATGATGGGCTAGTCAATCTTGATGGCTAGCCAAGGATGCGGTTCAACTTGATTGAATTGTCTGATTGAATCTAAAACTCTGTTTCTCAATGCTGGCAACTTTCAGAAGAGTGGATTACAACTCCCAGAATTCCCCAACCAGCCACCATGCTGGCTGGGGGATTCTGGGAGTTGAAGTCCACCCATCTTAAAGCATGCTGGCTGGGGGATTCTGGGAGCTGAAGTCCACCCATCTCAAAGCATGCTGGCTGGGGGATTCTGGGAGTTGAAGTCCACCTATCTTAAAGCATGCTGGCTGGGGGATTCTGGGAGTTGAAGTCCACGCATCTTAAAGCATGCTGGCTGGGGGATTCTGGGAGTTGAAGTCCACCCATCTCAAAGCATGC